TAAAACAATAAACAACTTTTTAGAACAATATAAAACTGATTTAAAACATTGTGTTTTAAAATACTTGCCATCCTTAATCAAACCATTGTTTCATTTTGTCACCTATGTATTTCAATCTCAATCTTAAAAATTAATTAAACATATTCGATGATTTGAGGCTTTCTATTTAACAAAAGCGATTTAATCTTGTTAAGGAAGTTGAATGAATCACGAGTTATTGGACATTATTGACATGTGCATAATACGAATGATCAGAAGAGTTTTTTTTTTTTTTAAAGCTATATATATATATATATTAAATTATATATAAATATTAAATTACATATATATTAAAAATTATATATATATATATATATATATATGAGATGCAGTAGAAGAACGACATGACATTCTTTTTATTTTTGGATTAATTAAACGAATTTAAGAAAACTATTTTTAAAATTATTTTTAACGCGTGATAATTTTTACCAAAGTATTAACCCTATTTTTAACGCGTGATAGTTCTTACCAAAGTGGTTCGCTTTACAACCAATCATAATGAATAGGAATTATATGAGTGCGTACTCCATTATTTAAATAATCAATCAAATAGATATACAAGAAAAGTAAGATTTGTTCAAATTGACAACCGCTTCAAAGATTTATTCAATTACGGTTAATAATCGACAGTGTTTCATGCTTAACATTATATGTGAAAGTACCTCTTTGCATAAAAGGATGTAAAAAAAGATATAAAAGGATGTAAAAGGATTAAAAGGATTTAAAGGGTGTAAAAGGATGTAAAAAGACGTAGGAGTTTTTTTTTTTTTACAAAGAAAAATTTGATACTAATTTACTAATTCGGAAAGGTTTTTGAAAAGTAGGTGAATTCGCACAAACCAACAAAAATATTCCACAAAAAAAAAAAAATTATTATTTTGGACGTTGATTATGTATACATTCATAATGCTCACAATGTATGCATTCAATATTACGTTATTTATGGAAACAGGTATGAAGTTGAAATTTCCCAAGATAGAGATTTTATAAAGTAAGTCCAAACTTTGTTAATGCACTTTTCATTGAATAAGGACAAAATTCACAATGTTACGATAAACGTGAAAGGATTGGTTCATCAAAATCAAAATTATCAAGGGTCACCTTGAAATCACGATCAAGCACTTCTTTGTTGAAAAAAAACTGGATATTTCTATCGATGCTTCGTGGCGTTTTAGGTACGTAGGTTAATACCTTTGGATACTTTTGGATTTAATTAGGGAGTAAGTTCAAGACATGATTAAAGACATTATTAAAGACATGATTAAAGACATTATTAAAGACATTATTAAAGACATGATCAAAGACATTATCAAAGACATGATTAAAGACATGATTAAAGACATTATTAAAGACATGATTAAAGACATGATTAAAGACATTATTAAAGACATGATTAAAGATATTATTAAAGACATTATTAAAGACATGATTAAAGACATGATTAAAGACATTATTAAAGACATTATTAAAGATATTATTAAAGACATGATTAAAGACATTATTAAAGATATTATTAAAGACATGATTAAAGACATTATTAAAGATATTATTAAAGACATGATTAAAGACATTATTAAAGACATGATTAAAGACATGATTAAAGACATTATTAAAGACACGATTAAAGGCATGATTAAAGACATGATTAAAGACATTATTAAAGACATTATTAAAGATATTATTAAAGACATGATTAAAGACATTATTAAAGACATGATTAAAGACATTATTAAAGACATTATTAAAGACATGATTAAAGACATTATTAAAGACATGATTAAAGACATTATTAAAGACATGATTAAAGACATTATTAAAGACATTATTAGACATGATTAAAGACATTATTAAAGACACGATTAAAGGCATGATTAAAGACATGATTAAAGACATGATTAGACATTATCAAACGGATAGATGATACGTCCCCGTGTATTAAGCGGCTAATTTCTTGGAACCAATTATGATAATGTAATAATAGGATCAATCATCGAAATACCATTTGCCCGCAGCAATGGTTTCTTTTTTAATGTTTGACAATAAAACACGCAGGGCATCAATTACGGCTTCATTAATATTGATATTCATTAACTCGCATAAGAAACTATTAATCTCTGATATCGTTAATGATGGAAGATGATGCGTTTGAAATTCTACGACGACGAAACAATGAACATTGTTGATGGTATGAAAAAAAAAAAAAAAAAAATCTATAGTATATACATCGATATATATATGTATGTATGTATATATATATATATCGATATATATAAAATATATATAATCTATATTTATTGTCAGATCGACTTACGAATACGTAGGTTTAATTACGATTTGTACATCAAAAATGTTCAATGAAATTTGTAAAAGGTGAAAAAAGCGATTACATAGTTTCAACGAAATTTATGACACTTGTCTTTATAGAGAGCAAAATGATCAACCATTCATTCTAATAATATCGTCAAAACCACTGATACAATGAAAGTAATCGTATACATATATTTAAAGCTTAGACTATTTATTTTATCGAGCTAAATAAGTCTAACAAAAGAATACTTTATCGAATATGATCTACCTTTTAAGCAAAGAAGTCAACAAATGCCACACTTTATTTTTTTCATATTCACTTTGCTGCTTAGATAGATTGTGATTTCTTCAAGTTTCTAAGGGGATATGTTACCAATAAAGCACGATAATATCCTTATACCACTCTCGTTAAGGTCAATTAAGGTCATTCGTTGAGTATTATTATTATCATTATTATTCTTATCGTTATTGGAAAATCATTCTCATGTATGTATCTGGTATTGTATTGTTTCCAGATCTCTGTGTTCTCTATATTCCTTACGAAAAGTCGATAATCGATAATCATCCATGCTTCCTTAATAGAACCTTGTTAATTTGATTGTACATAACAGATAAAGAACATGGGAATGTATTTAAACAAACACGAAAATTTATCTACTTATTGACTTTTCATTCATGCTAATCATTAAAATTTTAAATATGTAAGGGTATTAATGGATCAAGAAAGACTTGTAATAACACGTCTAGGCGCAAATACTTTTTTTTTCAGCCCTATAAAAAATGTATTATTATATTTGGTAAAGGCAGTTATCATTAAATTCACGATTCACGATTCTCAATTGTTTATATTAAACAAAATTATATATAAATATTTTTTTAACAAAGATCTTTTATATCGTTGTATTCTTTCCCTTCTTCTTTTAATAGATCTAAACTGGAACTCTGTAAATCGATATGTTTGAATACTCATTTATATCGATAATATCACCTGCTACTACAGTACTATAAATTTACTATCGCTATCGCTACAATCTACTATATTTTAATAATAAATTTATTATATATAAAAAACATATAGTGTGATATAAACTATCCCTGTAAGTTGCATCCTAACGCTATCATAAATATCATAAAATGTATTATAAAATATAATATCATAAAATATGTATTATAAAATATGTATCATAAAATATGTATCATAAAATATGTATCATAAAATATGTATCATAAAATATGTATCATAAAAT